AGCACCACTGCAAACAGGCACAATCCCTCCAGTGCCAGGCATGCGTCCACAACCTTCACCAGGTTCCACTCTTCCTCTTTTGGGACAAACAACCACTCAAGGCACCACACTACTCTCTACGCAGCCAACATCACAGGGAAGCACCAACACCGTTGTACCCCCAGTTTCAACTACGGTATCAGTCACCTCCTCTGCATCTCCTCCAAGTCCAGGCACAGCAACAGGCTCAGCTGGTACAGCACCACTGCAAACTGGCACAATCCCACCTCTGACAGGCACACGTCCACAACCTTCACCAGGCTCCACTCTTCCTTCTTCGGGACAAACAACCACTGAAGGCACCACACTACTCTCTACGCAGCCAATATCACAGAGAAGCACCACCACGCTTGTACCCCCAGTTTCCACTACCATATCGGTCACCTCCACTGCGTCTCCTCCAACTCCAGGGACACGTCCACAACCTTCACCAGGCTCCACTCTTCCTCCTTCCGGACGAACAACCACTGAAGGCACCACACTACTCTCTACACAGGGAAGCACAATCACGCTTGTACCCCCAGTTTCCACTACCGTATCAGTCACCTCCACTGCTTCTCCTCCAAGTCCAGGCAAAGCAACAGGCTCAACTGGTACAGTACCTCTGCAAACAGGCACAATCCCACCTGTGACAGGCACGCGTCGACAACCTTCACCAGGTTCCACCTTTCCTTCTTCGGGACGAACAACCACTGAAGGCAGCACACTACTCTCTACGCAGGCAGCATTACAGAGAAGCACCACCATGCTTGTGCCCCCAGTTTTCACTACCATATCAATCACCTCAACTGCTTCTTCTCCAACTCCAGGCAAAGCAACAGGCTCAACTGGTACAGTACCACTGCAAACAGGCACAATCCCTCCTGTGACAGGCACACGTGGAGAAATGAGAACAGGCTCAGCCTCCACGGGTAAGGGTTCTACCATCACTGGAAGTACTATGCTTTTTTCCACAAGTCCAGCACAGCCAACATCACAGGGAAGCACCACCACACTTTTATCTCCAGTTTCCACTACTGTTGCGGTCTCCCCAACTGTAAGCATTAGAACTCCTCCAACATCTACTCTTTCAAGGCTTACTTCTTCAGTATCTGCAACAACAGAAGGCCCCAGTACAGCCTACAAAGCACCTGAAAAAAGTACGTCTTTCACTTCAAGCAGAGTAACACCGTGTTTATGCCACGTGTCTGGTGATTTCTTTTCTCCCGGTGAGTTTATTGTTTCATGCTTTTAAAAACTGAGATACAATATTAGCATTCACCTTTTTAAAATTATATTTTACTGTACAGTGTAACTTAAAAGTGAGAATGTTTTCTTTATATAAAAATATGATGAATGCATACAAGTTAAAACATTTTAATATTGTTTGTTTGATTTTTTGCTGAACATTTTACTCAGCCATTTTATTTCATTTGTATTATTAATTTTGTTTCATAGGCGAAGTTATATACAACAGAACAGATAGCACTGGTTGTAGTTTTTATGCACTTTGCAGTAAAAGATGTGAAATTGAGCGACTCCAGGGGCCATGTCCTACAACAACTCCTGTTTCATTAATCCCGTCATCTACAATACCAAGCTTATCAACCCCAACAGCTGTATCTTCTTCAGTGCCAGTAACTCCAGAAACTACTCCAATATCAGGTTGCCCTGATGCTGACCCGCCAAGAAAGGTAATCCAATTATCTATTTTCTTTTTCTACAACACCACCATTCCCAAAATTGACCCAAATTCTGCCATCAGATAGACCCACATCCAACTTTCATTAATTTTACTGGGAGTTGCTCATGTATATGTCCGGGCAGGATTTGGCTATTTGAAAATAATCTGGCAAGATGTAATTTTTTGTGAACTTGTGCTGTCAACTTTTCCTGTTTGCAAATTGTCCACAGACTGACTTGCAGTTTTTACAAATTTGTTCAATATTCAGAATTTCTCAATATTTTATGCAAATAAATTTCATCCTAAAGATTGTTTACAAAGTGTTCCTTATAAGTGTTCCTTGCGTATTTGATATTCAAGCTGTATGATTGATCACTGAAGTCATATAGCATAGTTGTCATTCCCTAACTGGATGACGGAACTTTTATACTGGTTTTTTTTGTTTTTGTTTTTAAACTTTTATCCTGTTCACCCAAAGTGTGTTTGTTTTATGGGTGAAGCTAAATTCTATTACGGAAGTCAACAAAATGTCCATGAATAACTTTTTTCAATATTCATTATGCTCTAAACCCGGATATGTAAGGGCAGTCACTCATAGTCAGCTTCCTCTTCAGATATGTGACCTACTTTCTTTGAATTCCATTCTTGCTAGGTCACCCATAGACAATCTTACTTGAAACAACCTGAATCCCAAAGATTGATTATTATATTATTTTAAGATAGACATCTAAATTCTGCCTCAACCCAAACCATCTGTACAAGAATTTCCTTTTCTCTTCTAGATGAATGAATCCTGGATGTTAAACAATTGCACTATGGCAACTTGTGAGGGAGACAACAGAATTGTTCTATTGCTTCCTCCAGCTGTAGAGATGATTACTTGTGCAAGTGGACTCCCACCAATAAAAGTCTATGATGAGGATGGCTGCAACTACCACTATGAGTGTGACTGTAAGGGAACCAAGAAACAAGCAAAGCACTAATGCTGCACAATATACTTTAATATTGCAGAAAAAAGAGGTTTTCGGAATGTCTTGATTCATCTAGTGTTGTACTATAGCAGGCTTTACCCGCCAAATTATAGTTTACAAATTTATAATATTGTTGTGATGAGTCAATGCTTTAGGCACTCTATTTTTCTCAGAAGATAGAATCAGGCTAAAATGTTTGAATTACAAGAGTATATCATTACATTATAGATTTTTCTATCTAGCTTGGTATTTATTATACATACATTGTAGTAGCATCTGACACTAAGTAAGAATTTAATAATCCAGATCATCGGCTAAAATAAAGCTAGATATATAGACAGAAAAACGGATATGAATACTTAACGCCAACTATATTCTGCTTCTAGAATCTTTATTTTTTCAGATGTCATACAAGGGAGAAAGATTTTAGTTTAAATATGATATATCACCTTCAATTTCAGTACCAGCAGCCAATCTTTCTTTGACTGGCAGATTAAGGAAATTTGCTATTTTTAGCTTTTGATTATAAATAGATACTTTTCTTTTCTTTTCTTCCTGATAGGTGTTTGCAGTGGCTGGAGCAATTCTGACTACTTGACTTTTGATGGAACTCACTACACATTCCATGACAACTGCACATATGTGCTGATGAAACAGATTGTGCCCAAATACAATTTCAGAATCCTTGTTGACAATTACTTCTGTGATGTGGCTGATGGACTCTCCTGCCCTAGATCTATCATTGTGAATTACAACTCCATGGAAATAGTGCTAATCAGTCAGATACACCAAGGAGAGAAAAATAATAAGGTAAACCTTAATGGATTTTCACATTTTATAAATTGCTTCAATAAAAACATTTTAATAATAAGAGAAGGCTTGTTTAATAACACCGTATAAAAACAGCTAAAGATTATAAACACAACATTAGATATGTGGTAATTATATTTAATTTCATAAGAACTCCATAGTGTGTGTGTGTTTACCGCGCACATGTGTGTGTGAGAGAGATTATTTTGTAATCTCTTTCTCTTATGCCTCTTTTTTTCCATGAGGAACATAATGGGGATCTTCAGATCTACAGAGAGGAACTCTGCTCTTTCTTAACTCTTAACACTGCCATCATGTGTTCAAAGACTTGTCTCCCTGCCTAAGACATCAAATAAACCTGTGCTTTAGCTGCTTTTATTTTGTTGGGTTTTAGATTCTTGTCAACAATGAGCCAATCAGTGGAGGCTTCAGCAGAGGTGGCATTTCAGTTGCCAATGGTGGAACATACATGGTTGTTGAAATCCCGGACATCAAGTCTTACATCTTCTTCAATGGACTCACCTTCACAGTGAAAATGCCATTCAGCATATTTGGACACAACACTGAAGGCCAGTGTGGTGAGTAGAGTGGTTTAATCCCCTCTTTTCCATAAGGCAATTCTCAGGAGACTTTTTTCTTTATTTATGCTATGGTAAGGTGCACTTTAGCTGATCATTTAAATTTCTAGGTGCTACAGCAAATTAAATAAAATAACCACAGTGGGATTATGGAACATATCACTTTTTCACTATTTCCAGTCTCAGCATCACCTCAAAATGCAATTTACATTAACAAGAATATTTCTACTTTCAGTCTTTCATAAAGTGTTAGGACCAAGTAAGATTAGTGGTATCGTAGTAACCTGAAAATCAGGTAACCAGCCCCTGAGTGTGTTTGTTACATTTAGCGTGAACATTCCCTCTTGTACTTACCTTGCCATGCTGAGTTGCTCTATTGCCAGTGCTTCAATACCTTTCAGACTTGGTTCCATCTGTTTTCTTCTAGGCACATGTTCAAATGACAAAGTGGACGAATGCCGCATGCCAAGTGGCGAAGTAATTTCCTCTTGTTCAGAAATGGCTGCCGCCTGGCAGGTTCAGAATGAAAATAAGCCCAATTGTGAAAGGCTCCCGGTACCACCTGCCACGCCAACAACTCCACCTGTGCCCTGCAATTCTACTTCTCCTCTTTGTGAGCTGATTTTGAGCGAGTAAGTTAAATTCAGGCTTAGGGTACATTTGAATCTTGTGTATTGAAAAGCAAAAAAGTGTTTTGGAAGCCTTAATAATGGTCTTTGAAGTGGCATTTAGTAACAAAAATATACACTGCATTATTGATTGTAATAATAGCAAAGTAGTCTTGGTTTGTTTTTTAAGAATACAGAATAGCTGTGTAGTTTGTTGTGGCTGTTACCAGAGCTGGTTCTCTGGGCATCACTTTAGTCTCTTTTAGAGTTACACTATCTAGAAACCCAGTCTGCCCTTGAAGAATTCTCATTAAATATAAACTGTGTCCCACCAAGGGCTATTATTACATTGTCAATAAGACACTCACCTGGGACTAATATCGTATTTTAGTCCTAAAAGACCATCTAGGCAGTTCATTACCCTTTAATTATTTCACTCGGACAAGTCTAGATTTTTATAGTGATTATGCAGCGCAGCTCAAACTTCTCTTCCATTGTATTTAAAGTCTCTTTTGCAGAGTGTCATAAGATTCTGACGCCCAGCATATTCTATGAGAGTTGCATCGCTGATTCATGCCACATTACCAATGAATCTATACCATGCTTCAGCTTGGAAACATATGCCTCCCTCTGCTCTGCTAAAGGTGTCTGTGCCAACTGGAGAAGCAAGACCCAAGGACAATGCCGTAAGGAGCATTAAGAGATACTTTGCCTTGGATCTATGGCGTGCTTATTACAAACTTATTCTGGAAATGTAAACTTCTTCCATTATTTTGGGAGGGAGGAATAGATACGTATCTAAACTTTACTTTAATTTAATTCCTGTGGAGATGGGTGAACTAGTTCCGATAAAATATAAACAACCCTGAACCTTTGCTGTTCTCTCAAATTCAACCAAAGCCACATCTTTTGTGAGGTTCAAAATCATTCAGTAGCTGTTACAAAATATTTCTGCTTTTCTATTTCCTGATCCAAAGGGTTGATGAAGTGAGACCACCAGTGGTTGTTACCCCTCCACCTACATAAAATTAAAAGCAATTGGAAAGCATCATCTCTGCTTCTTTACCTTCATACAATGTTTCATTTTCATATTGATTTTATTTTTGCTCCCACACAGCATACAACTGTCCTAACGGCAAGGTGTATGATGCATGTGGCCCTCTTAATCCTGTCGCCTGTCATTCCGGGTAAGGCTAAACCAAATAATTAGCTTTACATTAGTGTAATGTCACTGTGTTCAGCTGTGTCTGTCTTTGGACGGGAGACCTCGTAGTAAAAACCAACTGCTTGAGGACAGGGTGGCATTGATGACTGAGTAAATCCTCAAAGTGGTGACAATGTGTTGTTACTAGAGATGCCATATTTTATTTGTGGCATTGAAACTGAAGTCCTGACTCCTTTGATTATTAAAAATCCCATGGCACTTTTCACGTGAGTAGGAAGGCCAGCATTTAGGGCCTAGCCAATTTCTTCTTTGGATAATTACATTGTGCTACCTAAATCCCTCTACAATTTCAAATGGATGCTGTATTTTCACTTCCTGCTATTTCCTAAACAGAAAAACATGCCCAGCATTGCTGTGAGCTGTTAGGTCGATGTAGTGCTCCACTTCAGAGTTGCCTATAGTTCAGTGATGGGTAAAAATGATTCCCGTACATAGATCATTTCTGAATGTTTACAAAGTGTTTTGTAATATTTGGGGATAAGGATTACCATATTGTATAAATGTACTATTTTTTATATATATTCAGGAAACCTTACCTGATTGTTTAGAGAAATTCTTCTTCATGCCTCAATTATGTTAGTGCTGTAAAAAGTTATTGATCAGATAATGCTGGGAAAATGTACTTTAATATCCATTCCTTTCTTCCTTGTAGAACTGTTAACCATACAAGTGAACATGTTGCTGAAGGATGCTTCTGCCCCAAGGATAAGATTCTCTTCAATTCATACACTGACATCTGTGTGTCAGAATGCGGTAAGTTTGTGGGGGACAGGAAGGAGGGAAGGAGAAAGGGTTGGAGGAGGATGTAAATAATGTGAATATTAGTGTTGATGAAAAAAAGAGATGGACAGGACAACCTAGTTCTAGGTATAGCGTGAAAAAATGCTATGGAAGCTTCTATCACACAGCTCTGCTCATGGACCTTAATCTCACTCAGCTTTAGCCATTCTTGAATATCCAAATTCTGCTAGCTGAACCAGTCTGACAGGTAGTTTTGTAATTATGACAAATTCACACTAGGGACTAAAACTACTGACCGTGTTTCACTTATAATATATCACATTTAAAGCCTGATCCCTCATAGTTTAAGATTCGCATATTAAACCCATTACTTTACCCTCCTCGCCATTTTATATTACATTCCTAGAATTTAGTGAACCTGCATAATATTTACACTGCCAGTGAAATGCCCCATAGACTGTTTTCAAACTCAGCCTAATAGCAGATTTTAGTCTTGCATCATCATCATCATCGGAGTAAATACACCAGCCACTTAACATGTGAATGCTCAGTGCCAAAACTGACTTCCCCTTGAGAATGGCTAGTTATTTCCATTTCCATTTTTTTAGAAAGTGACTGGTAAGTGGCATTAGCATCTGTGTCTACTTGTTGAAAAAAATGGGTCTGAGCTGAATCATGAGACAAGATGAAGGTTTAAAAGTAAATCCTTTGTGGATAAAGTGTGTAGCAATAATAATATCTGAAAAGTGCCTTTATGAACCCTTAATTAAAAGGGTAAGCGAGATTCATTTGTGTATCACATGGGTCATCAGATCAGCATCAATGTAAATCTTTATCCTTTCATTCCCCTCAGCTTGTGTGGGACCAGATGGAATGCCCAAACTGGTGAGTATTTCAGTCAGCACTTTCTCCAAGGCATCTTTCCCAGAAACATCTCCCAAATACAGCTGTTTCCAGGATTTCATTGCATTTTCCCACCTCTTAGTCCTCACTTTGTTATGAAATGTGCAAGGTTGTGGCAGGTTAAATTCTTAGCAGAAATAAAATGGAAGGAGATGATGGTAAGGACTTGATTGCAGCCAATACACTTTGTATTCTGTCATCAACTGCACCCAGTTTTTTTAAAAAATATATCACATTTTAAAACCCCCAAATGCCCAAAAAGAACTAATATGAATTGTGTGTAACAGCTTCAAATTGCACAATGGTGTGTCTATATTGCTTCAGATAAATTGCTAGTACTTAATTCCAGTGTTGTATCATTCCGTTGCCAATTATTGGAAATGTTATTTATTTATGGGTCTCCTAACTTGGGAAATTGAAAGCAGCCTGTCTGAAGATTTTCAGCCTGCTCTTTGGGCCAGATTCAAACCCATTGAAATCAATGGGCTTGGGATCAGGCTCCATGAACAGTCTATCTTACTATCCGCTTTGAGGCCTTCATCCAGGTTGACCCTGAAAAAATACCTATGATCATGAGCATCAGAGAACAGGTAAGATAAATTTTTTTTATATTTTTACAGCCTGGAGCCATTTGGAAGAGTAACTGCCAGGAGTGTGTCTGTGACCCATTCTCTGTTACTGTACAATGTAAGTCACTGTCATGTCAGACACCCGAGACACCCGTGTGTGAGAAAGAAGGATTCATACCTGTCCCAGTGTTGACACCAGAAGACCCATGCTGTCCTGAAATGGAATGCAGTAAGTACCGGCTACTATCTTTTATAGCCAGCTCATAAAAATATGGTGGGCCAAATATTGTCCTCAGTTACAGCTGCACATCTCTCACTAGCTAATCTAATCTAGTTAAGGTTTTCATATAGTAACTATCACTGTAATATCTAAGGGCTCTTACAATTAAGCATTATTCCTTGATTGATTCATAACTGTACCTAGGTACCAAAAGTTGATTTCTGAGTTAGTTAGATGTACATTTTTAGTTGGTAAAACAAAATCTTTTTGGTGTGTGTTTGTTGCAGAAGGGGAGAAGAGAGGTAAAAGGTTTTTCTGAGTCTTAAAGTAGCTGATAAATTAGCTCCATATTTGTGGGTTATACAGTGTTTCTTTATACACAGATTTTATGTCGCAGAATGGCAATATTAATTTAAATAGAGCTAAACAGGTGAACAAACACTAAAGCACGAGCCAGTAGCTGTATGTGATATAGTGCTATCTGTTTAGAGATTTTTTTTTATTACTGATATAGTGAAGTCAAAAGGGAGAATGTGCCCACAGTTTATTAGCCTGGAACTAAACAAATGAGCAGTGGAGGGCTAAGCTTGAAGTGGTCCTGTGAAAAATATGAGTGGGATGTGAGATGCTACCAAATGATTTGATTATGATGGTGTGGCATATTTATTTCCTATGAGGATCAGTCGTCCAGCCAAGCCACTTGCAGACAGGTTGCAGAGGACTCAGCCATGGGACAGAGGTGTCTTTTGAATTTATCACACTGCTGTGGTTATAGAGTAAGAGATGATTTGCTCTAACTTGAGGAGGAGCTTGATAGCAGTAGGAAAAGAGAGGGCTTTCTCAGGCTCCCATTCTAGTTGAAGGCCATTTATCCTCTTAAATCTTCTCTCTCCCTTTAGGGATACATCCCTCCAGCTTCTTCAAGCTTCAGCCATATGCTAGAATGTAACTCGAGCTTTATGCACATCAAGTTTTTAAAAGAAGTTATCAATAATCTTTCTGTGCCAGAAGCTGGGAATGGGCGATGGGATGGATCACTTGATGATTACCTGTTCTGTTCATTCCCTCTGGGGCCTCTGGCACTGGTCACTGTAGGAAGACAGGATTCTGGGCTAGATGGACCTTTGGTCTGACCCAGTATGGTCGTTGTTATGTTCTGCGCCCTTCTTTGTGTTAGGCTCTCCACATGTTCAAGGAGCCGAAGCACCAATTACTTCTAAGCAGGAAAACAACAACTCATATTGCTAGCTTTATCCCATTACGCACTTTCTCTTCTGGCTTATTCCACAGGATGCAATACAAGCGCCTGCTCCCAGACCAAGAAGACTTGTGAGCCAGGGTATCAGCTAGCCACAATCCTTTCAGAGGGAGACTGCTGTGTCAATTATATATGTGGTAAGTTACTGTGTTTCTTCTGACCTCTGGGTTATAAAAGGCTCTAATTTCAATTTCAAAGGAGATATGGAGTTAAGAAAAAATGTATGAGAAGTGAAGAAAGTAAGTTCAGTGTACATTAAATAATCATTAAAAAAACCCAGTTACCTTCACTGAACTATATCCAGGGGAAAAACTGAACTTTTTTGTGCATTCAGACTCTGGCAGTTTTAAAGATTTTTTTTTTCCATTTCTTTTTTTTTTTAAATAATTGATTCTTTTTTTCAGAACCAATACCAGATGTCTGTGTGCTTAATGGAACTATTTACCAGGTAAGAACAGTAGTACCACACCAAACATACTAACATATACTGATATTTCAGTAGCTCTCTAAAACCCCGATACAGAGCATCTCACTAGGAGTTTCCATGAGGGAGTTCTTTATCGCCTACATATTAAAGAACCTTTGTATCAAGTTTGCTCCTTGGTCATCAGCCCAGATCTGAAATAGACTTTGTTTGGAGGAGCTCCCCTTTAACAAGGAGCAAAAGTAAAAACTTAACCGTTTTTATTGAGAGGGGTGAATTGGTTCTTTATCCATTCCAGATGTGGGCAATATAACTTTCTGATGGAGCAGAATTTTGAAAGTCTTTTTTTGTGGGGCAAAAGAATGGAAGCCCCTCAAAAAATAAATCTAGGACTTTGGCCTACACCTCCAAGTTGAGACCTTAACTTCTCAGTCAAGATTTTCTCCTTAAGATCACAGCTGCCATCTTGGAATGTGATGTTGGGTCAAAATTTTCAAAAGAGGCCTGAAGTCCATGTGTAAAGAATGTGTACATATTTATGCTCATGCAACTGGATACACCAATGGGTAGATGTTTTAATATCCATTTGCAAGAGATGACTGCTTCACCAGCTCTGAAAACAATTCATAATGGAAAGCTTCTTTTGCGACAAGTGTTGTATTGATGAGTTTGCAAAATACTGAGGCGGCTCAAACCAGTCTTACGTAGTACCCAAACTCAGCATGTTCTTTTGATCTTTCTTGGTACATTCTTGCCATCTCTTTACTAGCCTAAGTATTTTGCATAATTTCAATTAGCTTGTTCCTATACATGCTTTTTGCACTGGCCCCACATTTTCATATATTACGTGCAACATAGTTGCTTTATGCTGTCTATTGGGTAACTCAATTTCACTTGTGTATCAGCATCTTTTATGTTCACAAAATTGCTTTAAATTATCTCCATACGTTATGAGGTAACATACAGTAGATCTCCTTAAAATAACGAGATTTGCTCAGACTGAATGTTCTCTCTTTGGCTTCTCCCAGCCTGGAATGTCTGTTCCAATGGACTCTTGTAAGACATGTACCTGCAGTTCTGAATTAGATCCAGTCTCCAACAGAAACCTTCTGCAATGTGAGCTGGTCCGCTGTGATACCACTTGCCCTCTGGTGAGCTCCATTTTTTATTTCACCTCCCAGTTAGTTTCTAAACTGGTGAAAATGGAAGTCTCCCTTATTGACTCAATGTATTTTCTCTCTCACTTCTTGAACAGGGTTATGAATACATGATGAAAGATGGAGAGTGCTGTGGAGAGTGTGTCCAGGTGGCTTGCACAATCAAGCTGACTAACAGCACTGTCCAGGTGCTCAAGGTAACTATTTCCTTTGATTCTCATTACACTTGGTTTTAGCCCACAACAGGGGATAAGTGTTGACAAAAGCAAGGGACAGCTCTCAACCAACTTATGTCCATTTTTAGTTACAGCAGGATATTTTCTACATTTATTCTAGCTGGACACACATTTGAATAACTAAATCACATATTTAGGTGCTCAAATGGACTGGGGGTGGGAGTGAGGGAGGGAATATACATTTTAGGCATCTAACTACAGACCTGAGAGTGCAGGTCTAGGATTTAGCCTTAGGCTCCCCACCTAGGCAGTGAAGTTTCAAAATTAGGCTCCCCGTGTTTAGTGTTTCAGAGGAAGTTAAGAGGGAACAGATGAGTTCCTTCTAGGTGAGAGCATGAAATTGCTCATCGGAAAATCCTACACCAGGCTTTGTCAGAATAATCACACTACACTTATCATAATTACATCATTGATCACATCAGAAAAGCAATAATGCTAAATTTGTTTTATTCCCAATGTCAGCCAGGTGATATCTGGAAGCCTGAAGATAATCCGTGCAGCTATTACAAATGTGAAAAAACCGAAGATCAGCTTGTTTCAGTCACAGTTCTGAGAACATGTCCTGCCTTTGACCCAGAGGACTGCAAGCCTGTAAGTTTCAATCAGTCCTTTATTGTTTGCTATTTGTTGAGTGCTACTACACAGAACAAGGGGCAAAGTATACAAGACAAGACAAGATAACACGGAACCAGTATCTCTAGTTATTAATGGCTCCCACTGTGTAAACAGCCATTTATCAGGAATGGTTTGAGAGTGAACTTAATCTTGTCACAGTGTCAATTGTAATGGACAATCCCTCCAGAACAGCCCTGTCCTCCCAGTTAATAGTCTGCTACCTCTTATTTTTGGATATGTGGATTCAAGAACTACATGGAACCAAGCTGGCAAGATAGCCTTCCTGGTCCACCAGCCATGGTTTCATTCAATATCCACTGCACAGCCCACCTCCTGTTAATGGTAAAAATGCTAGCCAGTGCTAGAAAGCTCTTGACTTGTCATTCATACACTAATTCTGAATGCTCTCTCTTTGTTCCTGCACTGAAGGATGAAGTACAGCTGACTCCTGATGGCTGCTGCAAAACCTGTGCCTCTGGATGTAAGTAAAGCTATTTTCTGATGTTCTGCTGCCAATAGATTCTGTATAATTATAATATTTCTAACCTTTTTCGCGTGGGATGGGGAAGTAGAAGTTTCCTCCAGGATCCCCACTCAGGTTTTCTTTAGTTCTCATTGTCAAGGGCCCCACGTTACACTGACTGGTCCTTCCAAAGAAAAAGAGAAAACATGGTTGTTTGACAGTGTCAAGATACTCTCCATCTCATCCAAGATCTGTTTATACTGCCTCAGCAGTGCTCTCTGCTACCAATGACCTAATGTTGAAAGATTAAGACTGGGACTTAAACTCAAATCCCCAACTAAATTACTTGTGTGTTTCCTACCTATAGCACGAATCCTGCATAATCAAACATCTTCCTCTCAGAACAGCTTTAAGCATTCGCTTAGCTGTGCATATGAAGAGACGTGAAGCATTTCTATTTATTTTTTCCTCTTTCTTAGTAACAAAATGCAAAGTTCACAAGAACTCCACTGTGATCCGCCACAATGAATGTGAATCTTCTGAGCCTATTGAACTGACGTACTGTGAAGGTGTTTGTGCCAGCTCCTCAATGTAAGTGGCAGCGAGTACATTATATCCTCTCCTTGTATCTATTTCTCTTTGTGGCCTCTTTTCATCCAACTGCTCAAGTGGTATTGAGCATGGACTCACCTATGCACTTTCAATTAATTTAATATACACTTGAAAAGCAAGGGTTTCCATTAAGTGTGATGGCTTGTACGTCTGAAGTGTGTGTCAGTATCTGGGGGAGCGGGAGAGTGCTTACTCTATACCACAGCAGTTATCTCCCATCACTTTGCCTGACACACAATATAACATGACGGTCCCAATGTCAAACAACCAGACTCACAGAAGTAAAAACCTTGTTCAAGTCACAAAGCAGAGTATTGAGTATCTGACAGCAAAGCACCCATTGGAACAACAGTGAGGAAGATGCACACTGGGGTTCTGATTTTCCTCTGACTTACATTCATTGACATCAGTAGAGTCACACCTGATATATTGCTGTGGCTAAAGAGAATCAGATCCTGCATTCATAAATAAGCTATTACGGCTATTTGGCAAATAGAGTACATCACATATAAATTGGCCCATCCTTCCTATCAGTTGTTCTTTAGACCACCTTGATTTCTCTCTCTGTCTCATACATGCTCAGAACTAACTGCCATTAAATGATGATGAAAGCCAGTGGAGACACTAGAAAACTCAGACTAACACCACAAAATTTGATCTTTCCTGTTTATATTGAGCTACACACACACACACACGCTTGAAAGCTGGAAATAATGGGCCCAATCTTGCTTCTATTAAAATGAAAGGCAGATTTGCCACAGAGCACAGTGGGCGCAGGAACAGGCCCTCTATCAAATAGATACGTTTTTTTAAAGTGTGCAATATTTAGCAGAGTGTGTGCTATATGAAGACTTTTACAGAGGGGTATAATTTCTTTTCTTTATCTGGTGGGGCAGGTATTCCTTTGAAACACAGCAGATGCAACACAAGTGTACCTGCTGCCAGGAACTCAACAGCCACAAGAGAGAGGTGACCCTGACATGCAGCAATGGAACAAGCATGAATTATGACTATGTCTATGTGGAACAGTGCCAATGCATGACTGCGTGCATTCCAGAAACCACAACCACACAACAGTTCCAAAAGGAAGAAGAACAGAAAAGAACAAGATGATCATAGGAAAAAAGAACCCAAGAGGTCTAAAGCAGTTAAAATCAAAAGCAACATAGATAAAATAACCTGTGCACCGGCTTAAAACTCTGTTTCTTACTTATTTCAGCTTCCACTATCACCATTTTTCACTTCTTAAATATGAGAATATTCAGCAGCCAAATAACTAAGTCTTCATATGTATTTTTATTTCTAAACAATACAACTTTTGAGGGGGGAAGGATAAACAAAATTATAACTTGCATTGTTAGAGTCGTGAGTTAACCCAAAAATTACTTTCCTTTACCATTTCCCCTGTGAAGTTTGGAGACCATTTAGTTCTATTCTTTTCACCTATTTCTTTTTTTAGTATTCTCACTGTTTCAATGGGTCACCCATTATGGTTATTTGTGTGCACGTGTATATCTAAAAACAACTGAAGACCCCTGACAAATATCCCGTTTACATCATGGGAATTCGCAATTATTCCAGTCAACCGTTTACAACATTAATGTTTTAGCAAGAAGTAGTAGGATGACTCTTTAAAACAAAAATAATGGTGATGGTGAGTTAATGTTTCATGTAGAAAACTGAATTTTATAGTTACGTTGCACTGTCCTTTGCTATTTATTTGTGAGTAGAGAAATAATTTTATTGGGGGGGGGTTCATTGTCTATGGATTTAAGGTTTTGTATGGGGTTAACATGTAATCTTTTCCTGTTCATTTTGTTCTTACATGATTAATAAAACTTTCAGCATTTTCAATTTTGGTGACTTTGCTGTTTTCACTTGCTGAAACCTAGCCTGACCATGTATCTGATCACTTTGGCTGCAATGTGTCTAGCTGCTCCACTCAGGAGGGTCCATGCCTCAGATAACTACAAATCCACTCCTTAGTTGCACTTGGGCAGGGAGGCAAGTCCTTTGTGAAAACCCTTCTCAAGGGCAGCATACTCCCTGCACACAGCCAGCCTGCTCTGTTGATTGGCATGTAGGTTGGGCAGAGCTCTGGTTTTGTTCCCTCCCAGTCCACCAGCTCCTGAGATGGAGGGGCAGCATACAGGGCCTCAGCCACTGTTTTCCACATGCCTGGAGCTGTGATTTAGAAGGTGTTACTGCAGCCCTGCAGGATTGGGAGAACCTGACTCTCTGCTACTCTCCTGCATTACCATGTTAGACCAGGGAACAATCTAGCTCCTGAGAATTAACTGCTGCTCCTTATCATTGATACAATAATGACATATTTAGACATCTTTACATGTCTGAAGGATTTTTAAATTTTTTTTCTCTGCTAACAACAAAATGTTTATGAATGGTTTTTAAAGATACAAAATGCTATTTAGGATCCCAAACATATTGGTAACTTAAAATGTACAGATAGCTCCATAGTTTACAACTAAACTCATTTTCTTCCTTCGCTTACCTGCCAAATCTTGACTTCCAAGGACTTACACCAGGGAAGAATTTGGCTGCATTTCCCCTCAACAGTTCTTAATATTTGCCTGCACTGTTTTGGGTGGCTGCTGTATCAGCAGCTGTTACAGCTTACACACAGAAGCCTAAACTAAGGATTTTGCAGGAAAGTAAAGGCAGAACTGACTTTTCAAATAATCGTATTCAGTTACAAATTTTAAACACATATAAGAGGAGGGCCTAATTCAGACCCTGAATAAGGTCAATAGCATTATACCCTTTGGCCCACAGAGTATTAACGATATGGGATCTCGTGTAATATTTTTTGCCTGGGGGGGGGAGGAATTAAACTCTTCAGTTTATGGTCACAAAATTTTATACTGACAGTTTCTTGAGTTAAATCAAAAGTTACTTAACCGAAAAATTGCAAATACATTGGGAGAGAAAGTATCTCGAATGTGTCACTAAAGAAGTTTAAACTCCTAAGTGTATGTCTGTAATGTAATCTGGAATAGTACTTGAGCTCCACTCTATCTTAAGAGAGGCGTTATAGAGATGATGTCTTGGCCCTATGCTATTTAGCATTTAGGATGTTGATAAGTTGGAGAGGGTTCAGTGCCAAAAGAGTGAGTAAAGGATTCAAAAACATGCCCTACAGGGATAGAATTCCTTGAGCCTATCTCTCTAGTTCAATAAAGCAGGTGATGGGCTCTTCAATCTAGCAAAGAAAGGTATGACACGATCCAATGGCTGGAAGTTGAAACCAGACAAATTCAGACTGGAAGTAAGGTGTAAATTTTTAGCAGTGAGAGTAATTAACCATTGGAACAATTTACTAACTTTTAGTGGATTCTCCATCATAGCAATTTTTAAATCTGAACTGGATATTTTTCTAAAGACATGCTCTAGGAATTATTTTAGGGATGCTCTATGGCATGTGGTATACAGGAGGTTGGACTTGATGATTACAGTGGTCCCTTCTGGCCTCAGAATCTATGAATACATAGAACCACTCCTCCATATAGCCTGAACTAATTCGCTGGCCCTACTTCTCCTCCAATATTACTGCTTCCTGGATTTCTTCTTTCAGTTGATTACTTGTGGCTTTTCTAAGTTTCTAATTTCCCTAGGTCCCAACTGTTTTATTTCTCTGACCTTAACAATTACATATTGAGCTGCATTGGGTAGCCCTACAAAAAAACTGTGAAACACATAATATCTACTACAAGGTGCCTTTACTATTTACAAGTTTTCTCAGTAATAAAGAGGAGTAAACAACAAATAAACCCATTACATAAATGATCCACAACACAGTGCAATCACAATATAAAAAAGTGGCTTAATAATTAGGTTCTCTAATAACTCCTTAAATGGCTACAAATAATTACCCCAAATGGTTGAATTCCCAGGTGATTTGCCTGGATAAGGTAAGTAGAGATACATCAGAGCATTAACACTTGGATCCAAATTACCACCCCACCCTCATCCGCTATCCTATATACAAAGTTAGAAAGATTTGGGATCCAAGGTTTCACTTCAAGCCTATCTCCACTTACACGGATCCCTTTGACCTAAACCAAGCCCCCTTAATCAGCTACCATAGACATTAGGCTCAAAACTCAGAAATTGCTGTTCTACTAATTCATATTTTTAACAAGCTCAAGTAACTTCCTCTATACAAACCAACAAGGAAGCTTTTACAGTGTCTCCCTAATAACAGGGTGAGTCTCCAGCCCAGAAGTGAAGTCAGTCCTCAAGGTAAGCTTAAAAAGAGGGGTCCCAACAGAAGTGACTCTCTATCCAAAGTTAGAGGGGGACCAGTAAGCTCCCACACCCGAATAATCCTCTATTTCTTCCCCACAAGAAAAGAAGCAGCCATAAAAAATGCTAGCCCAAGGGGTTCATCTACCAAATCTCATCCTATTTCTATACTATTAGTGTACGAAATAGGATTAACCCGCCTCAGCGGTTCTCAAACTTCATTGCACCGTGACCTCCTTCTGACAACAAAAATTACTACACAACCCCGGGCGGAGCCAGAGCTCCCAGGCTGAAGCCTTTGGGGTCAGTTTCAGCCTGGGGTGGCAGGATTCAGGCTTCAGCTTCAGCGCTGGCCCTGGTGACCCTATTAAAATGGGGTCCAGATGCACAGTTTGAGAGCCGCTGGGTCGGTAGTGTAAGTGGCTGCTTGTCCACGAAGAATGTTACTGAGATCAGTTCCCCCAAACTACAAACAATAGAGATTATGGTAGAAATAAAGCAAAATATGTGAACAGTTCTAGCAGCGGCTTGATTTTTAGTGGTGCTGAGCAAACTCAGCTCCCCTTGAAGTCCATGGAAACTGTAGGCGCTTATCACCTTTAAAAATTGGGCCAAAAGTTTGGGTGTTTTTGTGAGACTATTTGGTCCCCTACATTCTGATTTACTCATGTGCTCACCAGTTACAAAGCCTGCAAAACAGGTTATCTGGTTTGTTGGCTTCACTTACAATTATTTTAGCCACTTTATAAAATGTTTAGTACTTACACTTCAAACGTTGCTCAGCTGCCCTCTAGTGATGATTAGGTGTTTCAGTCAACAGAGTACTGTATTCCTAGGAGACCATCCAATACAAATTTTAGTACAGGTGAAACTTATTTACTCACTAATCTCACGGGGGGAGGGTTTGAAATCCTACAGTACATGCAATACAAAATTTAAATACAATAGACAAAGGGAGACTGGATGGCTCAAGGCATTGATAATGAAATATAGATCTTATCACCTTTGTCACTATTGAAAAGTATTTTTTATTTTACAGGGTCCAGAGTGTGGTGGGTGGTTACTCAACTTGGGTTAGTAGTGACCACAGCTAATTGCTGTCAGTTGGCTGCTCAGTGGCATGTGAAATGAATTTGATTATCTCAGTGCAGTCCTCGGTGGACATGTTGTGACATCATTAAAAAAAAACACAACTGGCAACACTGTAGTGCCAGCTGTGGTGGGTTTTGTGCTGTAGACATCTGAACATTGGGAGATAGATTGAGATCATCAAAATTGTACTGATTTCTTTAATTAGTAAATGTCAATATTTTTATGGCAAGTCCTCCATCTAGTATACTTGCTCGTTGCCTCAGCCAGGAGACCAAAGAGTACATGGGCATAGGGACAAATGACCTTCTTGAGGTATGAACCGGAACTTGCTACTTGTCTGTGAAGTACCTAATACACTTTTTAATATAAATAATGACTTAAAAAATAAAAAAGAACTGATGGAAAGAGGGACACAGGCTCCTTTCCCCCCAAAACCTAACAAGTGAAAAAACTAGTCTTGCATTTCCTAATTAAGGAGTTTCCACACCCTCTTCCCCAGCTAAATTGAGAGTCCAGGATAGAGGAGAAAGCTGCTAGAGCTGATCAGGAAATGTTGATTCCTCAAATCCAAAGTGTTTCACAGAAAGGTATCTTGTTTGACAAACTTTCAAAGAACTGCAGCAGGTTTCCATTGAAAATCTGCCTGATTGGCTGCTGGGACCCCAAGGATTCCAGGATCTGCAACTCTAGGGCAGCCCTGCCATGCAGACTGCCCTATGACCAGGGAGCTCAGGGCTTCTGGACTTTCAGGCCAGCTG